AGAGAGAGAGAGTCGACGTCAGAAGAAGACTTGTGGAAAGGCACCTTGGGAGGAGATAGAGAAATTGAATGTCATTGTAAACAAATAGTGGTAAAGGGAGAACTCTTGATCTTTTTTTTTTTTGAGAAAATAAAATATGTGACAGATTGTCATAAGGATTTTTTTCTCAAAATAATTATCTTTATATATATTATTAATTTATCTTTCTATAAAGGAAGAAAGTGGAAACTCTTCCTTTCACCTTTTATAGATCGGTCACCTTTTTCCGAACCACACACGCTGGGACACCAATCCACTACGAAATCTATTTGCTCCCATTTTATTAAAATATTCTCTTTATAGGGGTTTGTATATTGTAATAATATTTTCACACTTTTTATAATTAAGAGATTCACTTTATTTTTGGCTCACTTAATTTTATAAATTCGAAGTTAATCTTTAATCATACAATTAATTGCACTTTATAACTTTAAAATGATTTTAACATCTCAATCATTGATCAATTAGTGAGTAATATTTTCACAACTTCTACGTCTATTTTATAAATTTTTCTCATAAATAAATAAAATATAACATCACATTCTTTTGGCAACAAGCTCACATGAAACAAAAACAAACAAAACTTTGATTTTACTTTTCATTTACTTATTTTATTTTGCTAATTTTAACGCACAAATAATAAATGTTGTTGCACTCATCACCATCCACGTTTAACATTAACATACATCAAATCGTTGTACCAGATAAATATAATGTATTTTAATGTTTTAATGTTGCTATGTATCGCTATTATAAACCGTGTATTGCTATTACATCATAATTCAAGTATGTATCGCTATTATAATGTATTTTCATATATATATATATATATATATGTATATATGTGTGTGTGTGTGAAATTCATTCTATATACGTTTAAAATTAATTTACAATATGTATATATATAATTTGTGTTTGTGTGTGTGAATTTGCTAAAAAAAACCCTTAATAAGTTATAAATCTTGTTATACGCTAAGCCTAACGTTTTCGGGAAAAGCGAAGAAAACCCATTCCTTCTTGGGTGGGAATCCTTTTCTCCTTTTCTTTTTAAAAAATTTAATTATATTATAAAATTTCGATCCAATTTTATTTTATTATTTTTGTTTCAACTAATTATTCCGATATGGGTGCTGAAGAAGATATCTTCGTTAGATATTATAGCCAACTGGCAAACACATGGAAAGTAATATTATATACACGTATACCATATTATATCGCCATTTATTTAATTTTGATTATATATATATATAGACACACACACGATTTTCTATCATACTAAGACATGTTGGATATATTTATCATATAAACTAATATCAGCTTATTGAGTTCATGCATGCAACACAAGTTCAGTTCTTCTGATAAGTCTTTTATGAAAATTTCGTCCAAATTTTTATTCGAGCCATAATTTCGAATCTAGTTTGGTTGTTTGTCGAGTCACAATTAATACCAATCTTCAAAATACATGCATTATATATATATATAGATAACCCCCCATAAACAGACACATATACATGTATAAATATTGGCATATATAGATATATGCGTACATGCATTATGCATATATGAAATAGTATTTTGAATTTTCGGTGGCTGAAGGGTCAAGAAGCAACGAAAACGATGGAGGCATATAAATTATATTCCCATATATATATATATATATCAAAGAAAGTTTACCCTCAGTGCAATAGAATCCATGTTATTTTCAAACGTTCTACATTGAGACACACGTATATATATATTATCCGAAACTAAAAATTAAAATCAACGAAATAATATGTTCCAACATCTCTTGTTCCCTCAAGATTAAAAAAAAAAATCAATGAATGAAATTTAGGGAAAATGAAAAACATAGCAAACTTATTAGTAAGAATTAAAATCTAATATTTTTATATAAAATCATTACAAATTCCAATGAGACCGAAAGAGAATCATAAAACATACTTAAAAGAGATTTATTTTACTAGACAGAGAATATGCTAATAAAAGGTATATAAATATAGGCTGTGAGAAAGGGATAATCAGGACCGTACGATTATCTTAGATCCGACAATCACCCGACCGCCAAGCGTGCGCCCTCTCTGGCGTAACCACCATCACAGTCACAGGTGAATAAACCCGGATTAAATAATTAATTTAAAATATATATATATATATATTTTGATCCAACGGTTAAGATCTATCGTCAAGTCCACTCTATCGATCGGGCTTAAGGGGCGGAGTGGACCCCATCCCTCCATTCGGCGTTTAAGAAATCGGTCACTGAATTACCAAAAATGCCCCTTTGATCGGAGGCAACAGATTTTGTGGGGACTCTTTAAAGCCATGATATTATGTCACTGTTAATCGATGGCATTGTACTAGCCATAAATAAAATCTATTTTTTTCATAAAGTATTTAAAATTTTACCTTTTAACTCACAATACCAGAATTATGATATATGCACACTGTTTCGAACCTACAATTCCCCTGACCTAAAAGAATTTCGATATTCTTTTTTACTTTACCTGAAACTTCGTTATAGTTTTCGGGGGAAGGGGTATTATAGTCCTTTAACTATCAACAGGTTGGAGTATAAAATCCCGCGCTTCCAGCAGCTGATAGGTTTAGCTGCAAAAGAAGCCAGTACGCACACGGTGCAACAAGGGATCTCTCTCTCTCTCTCTCTCTCTCTCTCTCTCTCTCTCTCAATAATTTGAATTTCTGTTCAGAATCATAGAAAATCCAAAATCTTGCAGATGGTGATTTGATCTTTGGGATATATTTGATTAAGGCTTTTGGATACTTCTGAATCCGAAATTTCACTTTACCGAATAGATCGGTCCCTCTGGTTGATCGGAGGGGTGGTGTTCATGATGGGATTTTGCATCTGTCCGTTGGAGACGCCGGCGAGGTTGCTGTGGAGTACCAGCTTCTTCCGCCACAAGCTCATGATCTTCTGATCCAATCCCCTTGTTTCTGCTTTGATTTTGATCGTTTACTTCAACGTAATCTCGCGCTTTCGCTTCTTTTCCCATCCTTTCCGGCTGGAGAAAGCTTCCGATAACGGTGGTGTGCGGATTTTCTGGAGGCTCTTGATATAGTGTGAGAAAGAGATATAGACAAGGAGGTTTTTCTGATCGATGGAACCCAATCAGTTTTTCTTCGATCCATCTGCCTGCCACGACAACATGCTTTTCCTCGGGAATCGCAATCGCATCATCCAAGGTAGTCTCTTTCTCTCTCTGCGTACAGAGATAAAGTTCGATTTTACTTTCCGTGACTTTTAGCTGCTTCGGTGTCTGGATACTCGGGAAACGCGAGAAAATACTTGCAAACTTTGGTAGCGCTCTGTTCGTGTTCAACGTAGAAAGAGAAAAATATGCTTGAGATAGAAAGACTTTGACATAAATCAGAGAACTTTGATTTGTCATCAGAAGCAATTAAAATCTGTCGTGGGAATTTCAGTTGAAGTATTTGCTACCGATCAGATCTTGTATTCCATATTTTGAGAATCAATTCCGCTAGGAATATTTATTGGGAGTTCCAATTGAAACTTTTGTTCTCCCCCGAAGGAGGAAGATCGATGATGAACATGGAAGAGACGTCGAAGCGGAGGCCGTTCTTTAGCTCGCCAGAGGATCTATACGACGAGGAATACTACGACGAGCAGTTGCCGGAGAAGAAACGTCGCCTCACTCCTGAACAGGTCTGTACTTTCCTTTCATCCTCTCCTTTTGCCCCTGTTGATATCGTATCCGCCCGTGGATCAGTACCATGCCTTGGCTTGCTTCCAGATTTCGTAGCCAGTTGGATATTCTCAAAAGGATACATCCTCAAACAAGAACCCATTCATGAATTTGTTTTAATCTACATTTCCTCAGATTGCGTGTTATCTAAGGTACACAATTTCAGGTCAAACTGAATCAGACAAACCGAAAGACAGAACCAACTCTATACAATCAGATTTTCAGGTTTCATAATTAGAACCTGTACTTGTACGCTCGATTCGAACCTCTTTCCTGGATAAACTATGGAGTAACCTGTATGTATGCACCATGATGCATCTCTGTGGACACCAATAATTCAAAACTGACATTTTGATTACTTGGAAATATGGACTGAGACTCGGTCAGGTGCATCTGTTGGAAAAGAGCTTCGAGGCGGAGAACAAGCTGGAGCCGGAAAGGAAGACGGAGCTGGCCAAGAAACTAGGGCTTCAGCCAAGGCAAGTGGCCGTGTGGTTTCAGAACCGGCGAGCTCGCTGGAAAACGAAGCAGCTCGAGAGGGACTACGATCTTCTCAAGTCCACTTACGACAAACTCCTCGCCGACTACGAATCCACCGTCAAGGAGAACGACAATCTTAAATCCGAGGTACCTTCTGCCGAATTCATGTCTACATTTGCAGCCGTGATAATAGTTTGATGGTTTATTATCTTAGGAAACGGCGACTGCATTAGATTCTAAGATTTGATAATGAATCACAAACAGTTAAAATTTCAGTTCAGAGATGTTAAAAAGGATAGGGCGGTGACCAGGCTAGAACAAGGGAATACCATACGAAGGAAATAGTATTCTTCAGTTACGTGGTTGAGAACTTCTTCTCCGTTGCTCTGAAGGAGTATCGAGAAAATAATATACCTTTTGTGCCTTTTCTAACAATATGCCTTTTTAAGTCACTATGAAAAGACAACGCCAAAAGGGAATAATATATATATATATA